GGCTCGAGGCTCTAAGTTGTCAGCACAGAGCCCGATGCGGGGCTCAAACCCACAAACTGCGAGATCATGACCTGAGCTGAAGCCCGATGCTCAGCCTACTGAGCCACCCAGGCGCTCCTCTTCTTAGGTTCTTTGATAGCCAAGTAACTGTGGTGTCAGACACTAAAAAGACTAATCATTCTGAGATTATCCATACCAACATGAGGTTGTATCAGATGACTATGTATTTGCACATTGTAATGACTTTGAACATAAATGCTACTATAAAACAAATTCCAATATGGCTATACTACAATAAAATTAGTCTCATAAATATGCAGTTGAAAAAAACATGTGAACCAAAAAACATTGCATTTGTAAACGCAGACAATTGTCTGAATTCAGTTAATGGATCCTTTGCTGCGAGTGGTACCTCCCTACAGTGTTCCAGGCATAACCCCACGAGCAGCTTTTGATCAGGGGCTTCCCCAAAGCGTCTTTTACAGTTCAGAAGCAAACAAAACATGGCGATTTATTGTGGTCCCATTGTACAAATTAACTGCTTACTGTGTGTCTAAGGTAGGCTTTGGAGAGAGGAAAACGTTGGTAAGACACTTTCCCAGGCCTTAAGAGGCTCACAATCCAGTTATGACAGAAGACTAAACAATGTGTCTGGATTTGGTAAACTGGGATTGTATCTCCTTTCATTGCTTTCCAGAAGTCCCTTGATGAGAAGAGAATTCTCTGACATAGTGGTTGCCCCTGGAATCTGCCCTGTGAAAAGGCAGTAAATGCCTCCGGGGGCTCATTTTCTCAGGTCTTGGCTGGTGCCAGCCAGTCATTACTTTGCTACAGAATTGTCATCAATTGGGGAAGATTATTTTTTTTTCCAAAATGAAAATAGAGTTATTGTTTTTCTTCACATTTTTAAGAAAGTTACATGCTAATTGTAATAGTAATAACAACCCTCTTACAGTGTAAAGTAGAAATCAGCTCAAATCTCACGATCTTCACCTTAATCATCACCATCACGTTGATCACCGTTTTTCTACACTGTTTTCTTTTTAGAGACAGGGAGAGACAGAGCATGAACAGGGGAGGGTCAGAGAGAGGGAGACACAGAATCCGAAACAGGCTCGAGGCTCTGAGCTGTCAGCACAGAGCCCGACGCGGGACTCGAACTCACAGACCGAGAGCTGAACACTCACAATTTCACAAAAATGATTTGCAGGATACTGCTGTGTATGCCTCTGTTTCACTCAGCCCATATTTCCGTGTTAGTGGATACGGAGCTATGTAATAATTTTAATGGCTGAATAATATTTTATTAAAAATATAATTACTTATTATAAATCATAAATTAGCCTGTAGCTTATTGATGGTCATTTAAGTGGTTTTCAATTGTTTAATGTTATATACAGTACTACACTTAATGTCCTTGGGCATATATCTTTGTGCACTTGTGTGATTTTTCTACTTAAGATACATTTTCAGAAGTGGGTCAATAGTCCTCAGGTATACATGTTTGCAATTTTAATATATACCAAGAGCATATACAAATGCCCATTTCCTTACACTATTAACATTCTTGGAGGTTAACAGTGTTTCCAACTGGCAAAAATATTTATTTATAAATATTTATAATTATAAATTATAAGTTACAATTTATAATTAACTTTTTCAGATTTTTAAAAATAGGAGTTGAGGGACACCTGGGGGGCTCATCAATTAAGAGCCCGACTTTGGCTCAGGTCTTGATCTCACGGTTTGTGGGTTCGAGTCCCGCATTGCTCTGTGCTAATAGCTCAGAGTCTGGAACCTGCTTTGGATTCTGTGTCTCCCTCTTTCTCTGCCCCTCTTCCACTTGTGCACTCTCTCTCTCTCTCTCTCAAAATTAAATAAACATAAGAAATTATTTTTGAATAGGAGTTGAATATCTTTGTGAAAGTTTTTCAAGTAGAATCCTTGGGATACACTCATCTATGTACTGAATACTTAAAAAGAGGGGAAATCTGAATGTATGCCATGGTGCACAGTATATGAAGGGCCTTTGTGAAGGGACTAAATGCCAAGAGCTTGTTTTCAAATATCATTGTTTTACCATTGCTCCAAGTTACTTTACATACTTACGTGATAACTGGTTATTGGACTAGGCTCTACCAATGTGCATTTTTTTTTCCATTCTGTTTTCCTGCCCTGCTTTGTAAGCTCACCCCTGCAATTTCCCGTCTAAAGATCTATAGTCCTACCTTTACTGGGTAGTGTCAGGCTTTCTCATTCATGAAGTCATTTCTGACCACAGGCAAAGCAGTGAGGCTGTCTGTCCCCTAGCAAACGCTCCAAGCGTGGTACCCTTGCCCCTGCACCCCTCCTCCAGTGCCTCCCCCCTGCTTTCTCTGGTTTTCCTGCCTGTAGTGCAGTAGAGTGCAAAGTCTTAGCCCTTCTCCAGAACCTGTAGCATAGGTGGAGAAGTTTAGTATGTCTTAAAATTATTTTGAATTGTATACCTCGCCTTCCCAACACCCGTGTAGAGTCTTTAAGGCATATGCTAATTCTCAGAATTTCTTTATAAATCTTAATAGCTCTAAGCACAGTGCTGCGTACCAGACAGAGGTGATTAATACACCAACAGCAAAGAGTCTATCTTTTCTTATTTTGTTAGAATCGTAAGGCTATCACCTGGGGAAAATGATTAATCTCTGGTATTGAGCCAGGTGTTTTACACAGGTTATTTTATTGCACACATCTTCATATACTTCGTAGTTGGTGCTGCTGAGATTTTAATCCAGACCTGAATCTAAAGTCCACGTGCTTTCCTGACTTTACACATTTTTACAACAATGGTATTGTTTTGAAAACCCCAGAAACTTATTACTTCCACAACTGCTCCATTATTATCTTATGTAATAGAGATTTTTTTGTTTGTTTTTTTCTCTTCTGTATTTTGATTTCTTTCTTTCCTGAGTCATCTTGAAAAAAGAAAACTGAAGCATAAGAATGATACCTATACTTGCCATCCTGAATTTATTTATACCGCCATTGTAGTACCTTGCCACACATAGCTAAAACACTCAAATTCATTTGAGAATATATTCCTTTCTGGACTCACTTATATTTGGAAAACATTTTGAAAATCAAATCTGACCCATGACCCTGCCTTGGCAGAGTTTTAGAGTATCTATGTATACA